AAAAAAAAAAAAAAAAAAAGAGAACTCCTCAAGGCATTCTTGAGATATCGCGTTCACAAGAATGAGACAGACGAGGTCACAATGATCTTGACCTTTGAACACCAACTGATCTGTTCAGCCTTGAGTCCAAGTGGATGTTTGTGCCAAATTTGAGGAAAGGCCCTCCAAGTGTTCCTGAGATATCACATTCACAAGAATGGGATGGATGGATGGATGGATGGACAGACAACTCAAAACCATAAGCCACAGCTGTCCCTGTTGCAACGGCATAAAAAGGCTCAGTAATTTCTTAAAACAGCTTGCTACTGAAGTTTTCAACAAACTTTACTCAATAAATAGTGTATTAGGGACTACTTTCAGTGGTGGATTAATCCACATTTGGTACTCTACTGAGTATTTGGGGTGGCAGGATGGTGTATGTGGGACTGCGTCAAAATAAACTTGAAAAAAGTATTTTTCTTTTATTGATACACTCCAGCCAAGCATAAAACATTTCTTGCAATATTTCAAGGATTATTTTTTTTTAGTTTGTTTGTTTTGATTTGGTTTTACATTTTTGCCACTGTCACTCAGGTTTTTCTTTTTCCGTGCAATTTAAAATGCACAATAAATCAGGCTGATGGAAATGCATCTTCTGTTACCTCCAAGTGCGCTGTTTTAGATCACCTGGATAAACTGTTGGTTTGCTTCCAACCTGTCTGACTGCTGCTGTTTCTTACTTTTCCTTTTAGTGAATCCACCAGAGCTCCACCAAATTTGATGCATACAGTGTTATCATAACAGTGGCCACAACTACAAAAATAAGGCTCCTGTTGTAATACTGGATTGTCCTTCAAAGATGTGTTCATGTCTCTGTGTGTCTATAAGTAAACCTGCAATAGGTGGACCCTCTGCACTCATAGCCTTCAGCTAAACACACACTCCCACAGATTAAAACCCTTTAATCTTCCTGTCGCTCGTCTCAAATTGTGACCAAACCTGGCCTGGGGATTGTTACTAAACCAGGTGTTTCCCTATTTTTACATCCTCCCTGTTCCTTCCTCTCCTATGTGCAAATTCAAAATGTATGTGTGACTATGATAAGGAAAACAAATGTTCCCTGCAGTAGTAATTGAATTGACAATATAACGAGGTCTTATCTGGCAGGTTTCTCCAGGCATGGCAGAGGAGCGATGTGCAGGGCAACTCGTGATGCAGGAAACGCTCGTGGGCCACCAATGAGCTCTTGACCCCTGCTGCTCACTGGAGCACATCCTAACGCACAGCATGGAGAGGGGTTGTATATATGAGGTGTGTATATGTGTGTGTGTGTGTGTGTGGACTGGATTATGTGAACAGCACATATTCTATTCCTTACTTGGAGGGAAAAAAAGCATTGCAGAGCGTCATTCCTGTGAGCTCCAGCCGGATGACCTTGCCTGAGAAGGACTAAATGCACAAACCTGCTATTTTTAAATATCCAATCAAGAGAGACTCTCACTGCAGCCTGTTGTATCTTGTTCTGAAAATGTCGGCATGCAACCCTGTTCTGCCGACAATAAATGAGGTGCAGACGTTCCATTTATCAGGAGATACAGTAGGTGCTGGATGGAGCGTGTAAAAGCATTACTCTCCGGGGCGCCTGCTCTACCACTAAGCCACCGGCGCCCCAGAGAGTAATGTTTTTACACGCTCCATCCAGCACCCACTGTATCTCCTCGCCGGTGGCTTAGTGGTAGAGCAGGCGCCCCATGTACAAGGCTGTTGCCGCAGTGGCCCGGGTTCGACTCCAGCCTGTGGCCCTGTGCTGCGTGTCACTCCCTCTCTCTCTCTCATGCTTGTCTGTCCTATACATTAAAGGCTAAAAAGCCCCCAAAAATATCTTTAAAAAAAAAAAAAAGCATTAGTCTATTGTCTTCTTATTGTGTTAATCATCTTAGAACCACCGATGTAGAAACATCAGCTTACTTCACTATGATTTATATAAAGAATGAAAGACACTAAATGTGACTACACTCATTATAAGTACTGTGTCATATATGAATAATAAACAAAATCAGTGACATAGATTTAAAACCAAGTGACAGGATACATAATCACACCCCATATCGTGATTTTCTGACTCTTCTAAAAGCTAATTATCGATATCAAATAATCTGCTCATACCTGCACTGTAGCAGACTCCTTTGTATTTGACAATGTTTTCATGCTGGAGGGATCTGAGGATCTCGATTTCCCGCTCAAAGTCCCTGAGGTGCTCGGCTGTGCTGTGCTGCAGTTTCTTCACAGCCACCACCTCCCCTGTGCTGTCCTGCAGGGGGTCGTACCTGCACATCTCCACACTACCAAAGTTCCCCTGCAGCGGAGGGTCAGAGGGAGAGCAGATCTTAGAGATATGGAAACAACAGCTATGACAGCTTGGTATTAAGCACACATTGAATTAGCTTTGCAAGTGTGAGCAGGTCATTAAAAGGAATCAGTGAGATACCTAATCCCAAGAAAAACATATGACAGGAAACAATCCACATCATCTTCAGAAATTGTATATTTTCATATGAAGTAGTGCTGAACGTCACGCTGTCCGGAAACTACCATGAGAATATTTGAGATGAGAGGAAACTGCTGATGAGTCATGCAGGCTGAATGCTTGCTACAGTATGTCATCATTTATCTGAAAAATGCATTCCCAACACCCACATTAAGACACTGACTTAAACAGAAACCACCTCGAGAGAGCGTGAAACTTTGAGAAAGTTTTGGCAGATTCTTAAAAAGCTCCTCCAGTTAAATGCTTAGACCATCGCTACTGAGGTTTGGCAGAATTTAAAGGAAAAGGTGATAGGCCGTGTGACGCACATGTAGTTGATGAAATGTAAAAACATTTTTTTATTCTGTGTATAGGCAACACATTTTTACAACTGAGAACGTAAGAGTCACTCAAGGCCTACAACAATGAAAAATAAAGATTAAAATGTTAGAAAATAGCAAATGATAATAATTTCTTCATAAAAATGAACAGTAGTATGAGTATGTGTGCATGTCTCACTTTGCCCAGCTGCTTGAGAAAGATGAGGTGCCTCTCCTCAAACTGGGCAGGCTCCTGGTTCTCGGAGGCCCATGGGAAGCCGAAGCCTCTTGTCCGGTTGGGCACCATGTCGCTCTCCACCAGCAGCTCATAGTCTGCAACGCAGTGAGAATGGTGCAAGTCTTTTCAGAAAAATCTGCCAGACATGAAGAGGTTCACTTGAGCTGCTAAAGGCGACTTTGGCGGAAGGTTGAACATTTATTTTTCTTCCTACCTGGTGTGAAGAGGCTGTTGAGATCTCTGATAATGGCTCTGAAGGAGGGTCGGTGTGAGGGCTCATAGTCCATACAGCTGTTAATCAGATTGGCCAGCTCTGTCCATTTAGGAGCTGGCAGCTGGTGTCTGTCCTCATAGAACAAGTGTTTCTGCACAGCAAAAGAGCAAATGTCAAAACCTGCATGTTTCCAGACTGAAGAAAATAATATAAAGTTGGCAGACATTCTGAAACTAATCACTAGAATATGTTCTGAATAACCTTGCCTTCCTCTTACTTTAAAACAGATGTCATGAGTTAAAGGAATAGTTCGACATTTTAGGAAATATGGTTATTTGCTTTCTTGCTACAGCAAACAGCCACTTAGCTTAGCTTAGCATAATGACCTGAAACAGGTGGAAACAGCTAGCCTGGCCCTGTCCAAAAGTTAAAAAAAACAACAAAAAAAAAACACCTAACAGCACCACTCAAGACCTAGACACATCAAACCGTCATCACAGAATTAGCGATGAAGGCAGACTATTGCTGTGACGTTTTCTGTAAGTCAATATTCTCAATGCATCCTTGTTTTTATGACCTTGGAGCAGTCCAAGGTGCTGAGTGGTTTGTCGCCACCACTGCAGATCTCCCAAAGCGTGGTCCCAAAGCCCCACTTGTCTGTGGCTAAACTGAGGTTTTGGGGGTCTTCAATGCACTCGGGGGGCACCCATGGGATACGCTCCACCAGAACTGATGAACAGATATGATGAGACATAGAAGCACAGAGAGACAGAAGTACATGAATGGACCAGAAAGTAGGCAGTGACAGTCACACCAAAGCAAAATTACACTGGCTTACATTATTCTCACATTGTGCCTCCACACAGGTGTGAGGTACAAGTCTTCGCACATCAGGACATTACATGTATCTCACCTTCTTTGGGCAGCACGGTGATGCTGATACCAGGGTCACTGAGCTTGATAAAAGGCAGGCTGCCCGTCATCCGATCCTCCTCTCTGATCAGAAGAACATTCTTGGCACAGACATTTCCATGAATGAGGTTCTTATCCTCCTGCGTGAAGAAGTGACAGGGATGGCATTAATCACCTTTGTAGGTTACCATGCTCCAACCCTCAACGAGTATGTGTTCAGTATGTGTATTTTATGTCAGTGGACTTACCAGGTAATGCATAGCCCAGGATAGCTGCTTGGCCACTTCTAGCTTCCAGGTGATGTTAACACAGCTCTTGTTCTTTTTCAGGTAGGTGTCCAGTGAGCCAAATTTCCCATACTCCTGCACCATCATGTCTGACAGGCAGATGTGGGGGAAGTCATCTTATTAGTCACTATTATCCACATAGAAAATCTAAAACAACATGCTTCTAATTAATACAACCGTGTAACCAATTTGTGGTTTACTGTAGCTTATTTCCTGTGGATTCTTCTAAGACGCTTTGATAGCAGTTCAATAAATGTCTTCATCCATACTTTGTCATCTGGTATAGTTGAGGTCTTATTGTGAAAACTAGCTTTGGTCATTAAATCTGAACTGTTTTTGAAGTTTAATTTCTTCAGAATAATTATTCCGTTAGTGCACCACGTGTCTGATTTCTTTAAAGAAGAGAACATCCTAACGTGATGACAATGTGTTCCTCTGTGACAGAGCTTGCAACTCTCAGAAAGCTCCTTAAGAGTGACTTAGGAAAGTTCTCAGAGCAACTCTGAGCAAGGACGGGACAGAAACATATCTTTGTGAGGTGTGGTTGACCCACTTGCTAGGTATGATGCTTGCTTTTAACAGATGTGATTGGTTGTCACAGACACACCCCTTTGCGAGCCTACAAGGTGTGGACACCCAGTGGAAATGAAATGAACAGCTGACTGTGAAAGTGTTGTCATTGTTAGTGTGATCGCTCTGCTGATAGAAGGTTGAGACAGACCCAAGTCATGACTGCTGCACTGTTGCACTTTTACAGTTTTCCAAATATCTTAGTGTTGTGATCACTGTTGTGATCTGGCATTTTATTTACTCACTGTTATCCAGCGTTTGGGGAATATTTCTCTGAACTCTTTGTGTTTCCACCATTTTCTCCACTCCTTAAGAAACTCTTACGCCTCTTAAAAACAGTTTTTCACCTTGGGTGTTCTATTAAGGTCTAAGATGCTCTGTGAGTAACTTTTATCTTAACAAGAACCTTAACTTTAAGGGGAAATTCCAAGAAAACGTCACAGTTCTAAGAATTTTCTTAGAACTTCGTCACTAGGAGCAACTCTTTTGGAGTAAAGATGAAGATTACAGTGACACATTGGTGACTTGTTGATCCCAAGGGCTTCATCCGGTCAGAGTGGAGGGGTCAGGGCACAGCAGAGAGCAGGTTACCAGGTCAGAGACCTTATTCGTCTCAGTTTGATTGTCACACTTGCCTATAGGGACAACGTGTGACCTCATCTGATGTAAACACAACTGTTAATAGTGTGAAAACTCTAATGTATTCAGGAGGCCTCATCACCTCTCTTTGTATTCTATGCAACACACATTCTGTTTTGCCTTGGTTTCAATATTCCTCTCATTTTTTGTGTGTGTTGTAGACTTACTCTCATTGCCACAGACGCACACGCCATAGTTGAGGAGTAAGTGCTTGTGGGACAGCTGGCTCATCATACTGGCTGCTTCAAAGAAGGACTGCGAGGGAGAAAACAAGAGAAGAGTTCCTGTTTACTTGTCTTGTTTCAACTCACGTCCAGTTTATTTCCTCACATCCACTCACTCACACAACAAGCCAACCTCTGAATAGTTGCGGTGAGACTTGTCCAGGATCTTGATCACGACGTCTATCTGGTGCACCTCTCCGTAGTCTCCCAGCTCTTTCCTCACACCGCAGAAGATCTTAGTGAAGGTTCCTTGGCCCAGACTCTCTTTCTAAAACACAGAGTTTTATTTTGTTGAAAACCTACTTTGCACTTGTTTAGCACCTTTGTAGCCATCTGACCACTCAAAGCAAGTCACATTTACCCATTCACACACCAATAAAACAGCTATCGGGAGTAATTTGGGGTTCAGTATCTTGCTTAAGAATGCTTCGACATGCAGATTGAAGGAGCCGGGGGTCGACCGCTGGTCTTCTCTTATACTTTCTTAGCCACAGCTGCCCATCATACGCCCATGTGTAGCCTGGTCCGAAGTCTGCGTGAGGTGGGCACATTCTCACCGCTGATTCTTTCGTTTTAATACAATTTAATGTGTGGAAAAAGGCATATGCATGTTTTTTGTCAGTATGTATCATTTATACATCTGGCCCCAGGACTTATCTGTGCCAGCCAACTAGACCCTGCCAGACCACCAGGCTTTAAGATGAAACTAAATACATTTACAATAAATGCACAACAAAGGTAAATACATGTTCAAAACAGGAAGATAAGGCGACAACTGTTAAATCCGGTGAGGGAAGGGTAACAAGACAATATTGCAATACAGAAAACCCCCTGAGCTTTCTTGATTAGTGGAAGGGCTTCTGTGGGTTTCCTGTGACAGACCTGCCGCACAAAACTTCAAGTGCTCAAATAACAGAGAATTCGTCGAAAAGGAAATGGAGCTGTCACAGAGGTGAGAGCACGGCTGACACAGTTACATGCGACACACACAACACACTCACACACGTCCATAGGAACCGCTATTGACGCTGAGTTACAGAGGGTTGATCAAATGAGGAAGTGTTTTGTTAGCTGTAGTGAACTCACTGACCCCACAGGAGTCCTTCCTGTCCTGTCTAATTAAAACTTCTGGTACAGTCATGTTCAGTAATGACACTCATGTTGACATGTTTACAATGTTAGCTTGTCTACAAAAGGCCTGCATCAGTATGTTTTGGCTTTACTTTCAGTGTTATTTCACAGTTACAAAGACACAGGTCCAGGCGAGAAACCGCACACAAGCGCCTTTTCAACACTGTTGTACCCCTCTACAGTGCATCTAATCCACTACACCTATACTACCTACTAAGGCTAGTTATGACTGTTTGTATGCGTTTTTCAGATGAGGCAAAAAGCTAATGCAAAGAGGGTTTACTTACGATGACCAGGTCCTCTTTCCGGATCTTGTGGAAGACCATCTGGCTGATGTTGTGTTTGTGAAGCGAGGGAGACAGAGGAACATCTGCCCCTTGATTATTTCTACACACCACCAGGTTGGATTTATCTGAAGAAAAGTAAAGACGGGCAGGGATTAGGAAAACTCACATCAAACTGACATTTTGACACAACATCTGAGTTACTGTTTTCCAATCTGTGACACTTTTAAATGGCACACATGAAAAGAAATGCAGCAGCTACCAATTGTAAAGTTAGATTGCTTCATTTCCAGTTCTTAACCATGAATATGAGCATAAATAAAAACCTAACTGGTTTGTTTTATTGGCCCTTAGAAACAAGTAACTTTGCTCAGAAAGAGTTTTGAAATCCGGAAACCTGGTGAAGCAGTTATCGAATATTAGTTATCATTAACAACTCTATCCAATCCCCAGAGAGATATAATGGTCATGTGCTGTGGGGCAGTAACAATCTTAGTTTCTGCCCATTTAAATGAGTATTTCACCCACAAAATTACCATTTATGAGTCTATCAGTCATGCCATGCTACCTTCAATTTGTGAAGGAAACTATTTTTCTCGCATGCCTCCACTGACAATGGCGAACATATTGACTTCTTGATTAAGGACTGTGTTTAACAACAGCAAAACTATATCAGAACATTTATTTACAAACTCTCACACAACTTGTGCAGTATAATCCAAGTCTCATTTATCCAGTCATATGGAAACATGGATTTTTCCCCTAAAAACCTTACTATTTAAAACTGACCTGAAGGTTCAACTTATCTTTGCTCGCTTTGAGGGTTTTTTTTAGTGGAAATGCATGAAAAAATGAGCCTTGGATGATATTGCACGAACCACCAATTATAACTGCATGGTCTGTGCTGTCGGGAGTTAAAATAAATCAAGCCTGTCAGTAAATGTGCTGAAGTTCAATGGTTACCTTAAGAATGCAGAGTGTGTTCGTCATTGGCTTAAATCCATCAGGGATTCAAAACTGTTTCTGAGTCAAAAAGTCATCTGATATAAACAGAAGCTTAGGAATGGGTAATTAGATTAGCAGCAGCAGCAGGAATTTAAAAGATTCGGAAAACAAATTAAAAAAAAACCAAGGTAGCAGTGCCAAAGACCTCTGTAAAGATTTTCTGAAACACTAAACAAGGGCTAATTGGTTGCCTTGGCACAGGATGTTGAACTACTGTATGATGAACTTGAATCACTTTCTTATATTATCTGTTCATAGCTTCCTACTAGCCTCAGTCATATATTGCAGCCAAAAGATTATTTATGACCCACCAAAAATTAAGGCCAATTATGGGTCAGTAGCTTGCATGATATCTGCATTTTGTACGATGTGCAAAAGGGTTTGTGGCAATGAGCTTTAATAATCAACTCCGTAATGCACTGATAAGTTTTACATTTAATCCTGGTTAAATTTGAGCTCATCCAGTGTTGTAGTGGAGCTAGTATGCAGGTCTACGGCGTCTACCAACTTCTTTATAACATTTACAGTATACCCACTATCAGCCTAGAAGCCATTGGAATATACAGGAGAGTCCTTGGAAACCTAACCATCTACCTTGTAGTCCACCCAACCCATCAACTACCACTACACCACTGAGTTCATCCATGTATCATTGAAATAAAACTGTTGCCTATGTTTGTAGCCTTATGGACAAAGACCCAGTGAACAAAAAGTTAGGTCCAACTAAGGGACAGATGTCTCTCCTGTGCTGGAGAATACTTTAACAGCATTAAATGTCTGCATTTTACTGTATATGTGTTATTTTACCCGTGTCTATGTGTGTGTGTGTATAGATATTGCATTTTTATTAGTGTTGTTGTGTGTGTGCACTTACCATTGAAGCTGGGTGAGCAGCACCTGGTCAGCTGAAATGTGTATCCATCAGTGCGGAGCGCCTCCTTCTGGTAGCAGTGCAGTAGTTCCCTGAGTGAGCCGAAGCTCCTCTTCGCACCACTCAGAATGTACTCCCCTGACTCTGTCTTCACGATCTGACAGTGCTTATAGTCCACCCTTGTTTCACACTGGAAATCAAAGAGAAAAATGATTATAGTGAAGTTGAGCTGAATATGCTGACCGTATTATTTTAAGAGACTACAAAGGATAGAGTCAGTGCCAGTCACAGGAGAATCAAACCTTATGGCTCCCTCCAGTGGTTAAAAATATGGGCAATACTTAAGAGGCTGTGGTGTGTACACCTTTTTGACTACCTGATTTTAGCAAAACAGTACAGTTTACTTTCAGAAACAGACAGACACTCAGTTCAGTGTAGTATTGCTGCTGTGATTACTGTCACTTTGCCCATGTTCCTGCTTCAATGAATTATTAAAACAAAGCACTGCATTGAATTTACACAATGTTATGACATTGTATCAGCCAGTGGAGGATATCCAGTAGCCTGCTGTGGTGCATGTGGTCATGGGCTTAACAAGCGACCGTGTTCAATGGGCCTGTATACTTGTAGAATCACACGTGAGAGAGATACACAAGTTCACATTGATGCTGACCCAACATTAACAGCTTACCCCCACCACAAAGGACATGAAGTATTTGTCATAGTCCCTGGGGCTGCAGCGAAGGATGTACAGGCCTTGGTGGTTACCAGAGCGACGCAGCTTACCGATCGTAAACTCCATCCTGTGATCAAAGAGAGCAAATGTGTGTTTGTGTGCGAGTGGTTCTGTGGTTGTGGGTGCACATGTGCACCAGTGACATGATACATTGGTGAATTGAATGTGCGGTATACTCACGACACAGGGCCATGGCAGTAGCTCTGTATGCACTCAAGAAGTCTTGGTGGAGCCACTTCTTTACACAGATAATGATGGGCATCTGCAACCAGTCTGTAATACCCATCAACCAATGATACAAATGACAGAGCCTCTGAGAGCGAACGAAACTCCAGTTCCTGTGTGGTCAGACAGAGACACAGATAACAAAGGGGGGATGCAGAAGAGGACAAAAATAAATCATTCATCATTCATCATCCTATTTTTAACTTCAAATCATATAATCAATAGGCATTCAATCCATGGATTTATGCAGTTTAGTGTTACAAATTATTACACTTTAATAGTTTTACAGACGGAATTTGTGACGTAGCGCTGAGCGACACATGCAAGTTAGGGCTTGGTCTGTTTGCAAGCCGGTAAAAATGGTGGCCTCATCACAAACTTTCTCGAATTACAGCTAAACAGTACACTAAAATGTGTCTCTGAAGTCATTTGAAGCAGGAAATAGACAATTCAGTGACAGAATCTTGGTTCATATGTGATCAGCACTGCCTAGTTAGACAGTTTGATATGAGTTTGGTAAGCCTCATGCATTACACTGGACTAAGCAGAGACCGGTGATTCTTTCCTGTCAGTCATCGCATTAGACCATGGCTTGTTCAGGATCTGGCTGGATGGAAATCTATTAGAACGGCAGGGGAACCAGACGCATCTGCCAGAGCTAATAAAACATGAGCTTGCAGATCCCTCTGGTTCCCAGAATAGAAATAAGATAATATTGGAATGAAGCAAAGTAAACATATTAATTTTAAAGTGCTTATAGAGCAACATAGGGCAGAGCTTGAAGAGTTCAGTGTGTACTGTACCAGGGTATGGTTGTCCTGTCTGGTGAGCGTAACTATGCGGCTCTCCACAGAGCCCTCCTTATTGGCCTGTTTGATGCTGATGTCGATCACTGCTGGGAAGTCACAGTACGTCTGCAGCTCCTGAGGACACAAGAGTACGCATTAGCTGAAGTAGCATGCACACACATGCGCTCTTGTTATTGGCAATTTCAATGCTAGAGCTCCACCGACTGTGGACAGCCATGACAGCATGACACTGTGGCAGAGTGGTGCATCACCACAGCAACATGAAAACATATCTTCTGTTCCTCACCTCCTCTGCTTCCTCTTCCTCTTTCCCTTTTGACCACTGGATGCCCGTGTTGCCCATGACTATAATGGTAACCTCGCGTGCAGAGAGGTCGGTTACTTGGAAGCGCTCAGAAAAGAGGGAGGGTAGCAGCATCTCCAGACTCATCAGGTATTTGAGCTTGAGATTAGACACCGTGGCCTTGCATTCGCTGAACTGCTGGATGAACTTCTTGAAGCGATAGCGGATCCTCTTCCGAGTCAAGATGTTGTATTCCTGGATGCGGCTTCGCATGCATCTTGGCAGGAAGGATTTGTAGCTGAAAGCGGAGAGTGGATTGGGGAGTTGAGAATAACAAAAAAATGAGGACAGACACAGGATTAAAAGAACAAACATTAAGTGCATTTTGTGGCAGTTCAGCCAGTGTACATGCTATGTCCACCTCAGGAGATCTGTCAATAATCCTCACAAAAGAGAATGTATTGTAAATGTTTGACTACTTCAACAGAAATCGTCAATTGTTGTTAGTTGTTATGGTGACAACACACACCTGTTAGTGGAGCCGTAAATGTGTCACACTCGCTAGATTGAGAACTCAGTTTTGGCTTTCTGCTGCCTTTTAAGTTATCAAGGTTACTGATATCTTTGCACAGTAAGTAGATGTATTTTACAGTGTTGCATGTTGCAAAGTAAGTACTCAGATTACTTTCAGTTGGAACAAGTAATGTAACATGTTAGTTTTGCAATTCAAGTAATTAGTTATTTAATTAAGTTTTCATATGAGCAATCTGTTACTTTTAAAATAATACTGTATTTCCCTCTTTCTTTTGTTTGCAAGTTTGTTGAAGCACGATGTAACGTTGCTGTAGCTGCCTCTGAAGAACGTGTGAGAGAGACAGCTGAGAGGCAGAGAAAGACAGCATGTAGTTCAGCATAATTTCATGTCTGACTCAGTGAATTTAAGGTTTATTTTGACCAAACCAGAGTTGGTGATTATTGGAACAGTAGAAAGACATTAACCAACGCAACAGTACTCTATCCACTCCGATCAAACAGAAGGGGTTTTGCAGCTGGAGGCGACTTTTTGTAATTGTTTTTAATGAGAATGAAGCTTTTTGCTCGCTGTTCTTGTGTTGCTTAACTCCTCTGTTTCTGCACTCTAGGCGCCTGGCGTTTTTGCCGGAGCGCTCTGAACTTCTGGAGTTGAAAAAAACTTCAACTCAAGGTGGCAAATGTTTATTTAAATATCCATTCTACTCTTGTTCTATTGCTGTAGTGTGGACACAGTGCATAAGTATTGTAAAGATCAGATATTTTTAATACCTTTCCAACTGAAACATTATCTCACACAAAAAGATAACTCAGTCCGCTGCATGAACACACATAATGAAACTATCTTGATGCTCGGTGTATCCTGAGGAGCATGTCACACTGCTCTGAAATCGTTATTCATGAGCTGCACCACATGCACACCGGCATAACAGAGAGCATTTCACATTATTTTGATAAGAGAGTGTGCAGCATGTAAATGAGACTAGAACTTCCTGGAACGTTGTTTTATAGTTGTATTTTCCTTGTCTTAAAGAATGCGTTATACTTAAATTATAAACCCTTCAGGGCTTACAGTATTGGTCTCAGCAACATGAAATTGCATTTGGTCATTAGTTTTTAGTGTGTGAATGCATCCTACCTGGTATCATTGTAGATGTTGACAGGTGACTGACCACTCTCTTTGGCAAGCCTCATCATGTCCAGCACCGCCATGCCCAAACACTCCTCCTGGGCCTCGTGACTCACCGGAATATGAATCCAGCCATTCAGGAAGTCACTTCGCCACTGGAAGAAGAAACAATGGATGATATCAGGTCAGTGAAGGAAAGAAGTGTGAAGTGAGAGGGGAGGTTGGATGGGTGAGGTTTATTTGGCTTACTTCACATGTCCAATACAGTAAATCTTAGATCAGTAATCAGACAGATTAACAAACTAATCGCTGGTTACTTTGTTGGAACTGCACAAGTCAAGCTCTATAACAACAGGCGTGTCTATGTGACAAACATTCTGTGGGTACATCTGTTGACACACAGCACATGTTGTCAGTGTGACCGTGGAGACAAAAACAAAGCAAAACAGAGTTGCATATGTCAAGTTCACACGAACATGTGCGGGTGGGGGGGGGGGGGGGGGGGGGGGGGGGGGCAGAAACAATTTAAAATGCAAAAACAGGCACATGGACAGACACACAAACAGGGTGAAGAGAACACAGACGTATCCTTCTTCCCCATTTGTGCTCTTCTCTTACACTCTTACTACCCCACTTCCTGTTTTTTGAACTTACACAATGGCTGACACCACCGACAGACTGGCAGTCAGTAAGAAAGGGAAGGAAGCAAGTATGTTTTATCTCCCCCACCCCACATTTCTGCTTCTCATTACATAGATGGAGAATTAGAGAGATAGATAGACTTTTTTTTTTTTAAAGCTGAGTGGGAAAGAGAAAGAGAGGAATGGAGATGAATGAGAGGGCATTTTGAAGAAGCTGTCCATTGGTTTACACTCAGTTTGATCCATACAAGAATGCACTCTAATTTCTAAAATACAAAATACAAAGAAACAGAATAAAATCCCAACATACAAAGCACTTTATACAGAAGCAAATAACAGACTTTTAGAGACTGACCTGAGAAAACTGGTATGCCATGACACAATCATCCATGACAGGGCTCTCTGTCCCCTTGGACACACCATAGCGATGGGCGTACAATGAATTGCCGCTGTTATACCAGCCAGGAAAATAGTATCTGGACAGAAAAGGGGACCAGAGAAGATCCAGTGAGCGAAGTAATGCAAGCATAAGGTAACACATGGAAAGTCTCAAACAGATTATGGAGATTAAAAAACATGCTATAAATTTCTACCTTATTCTGAAGTGCAGGCTTTCAGTGGCTGACTGGAGCACTTTAAAGATGTGATTAGGAGGGAGCCATATCCTGTCACTTTCCCTCATCAGACCAAACAAGCTGCAGTACACTGGAGCGATCCCTGAAAAGAGAAAAAACAATCAGCTGTTTACTATAATACAGCACAGACCGTTTTATTCTTGGACTGGGACATCACACCCATAATTCAAATTAAGGAAGCCTAATGACAAATTAATATTTGATACTCAAGTTTGAAAGAAAAAACAAGTTTCAAAGAGCCTTAGCAGTGCGTGTTACTAATTAGCTGCCACTAAACAACAACTGCCCAATATTATGGGTTGCAGCGGTACTGCAGAATAGCTGTCTCAGAAAAATCACACTTTCATGGTATAAAACAATTATTATTATCAGTTACAGTGACCCTTAAAGGAATAAGAATATTTTTTTCCCATACATATGAACAAACGCTTTATCACAATTTAAACATGAAACCATTTTTTTTTAAATAAAAATATGTGTAGGGGGTCCGACAGGCAGTAGAGGAGAAAAGGAGATACACACACGCAGGTGACATTTTCCTTCCAGTTACAGTTTTGCATACAGCAGATAAGTAAATGTACAATGATTTGCTAACCGTCAGTTTCCTTGTAGACTGCTGCAACCCTAATTTAGATATACACAAAGTCATGCAAATACTGTATGTGTTACAAACACACACAGCTTGTGTTGTGGTAGCAATAAAGAATGGAAACAACTGTGCAATGACAATGACACATGATGACAACCAGTTAACTTTTCTTGGTAGCGTATTTCAGTGGAGTTGATAACAACGAAAATAACTATAAGGCTTCCTGCTTCCCTGCAGCTCAGGGTCCAAACATCATGTGTCCGCATGAAAACATAAGTTCTCATGAACTGTCCTGTGAGTTGGTCCTTTTGTCAGGAGGTTGGTTTAAAATGGATGACATTTTCAGCTGCATCTGACAATAATAGCCCGCTTTGGGGGATTCATGAGTCTGGATGGTTATAAACATCAGTCCCACTGTCTGCACTTTAGTTCCCACAGCTTGTCATTCTGCCCTCAAAACACCAGTACCAACAGTATGTTGCTAGGGAAGGCATGGCCATGGGGCATATGGGTTTATGGGTTAAAATGCATAGAGAATTCTGGGGGCTTGCATTAGCAAATAGTAATGTGACGATCATGGATATGAGAAAGTGTCTTGATACAAAAGCAATTTCTACTGACTACAATAAATATACATGTGGCTTGGAATCGGAGGAAAGACAAGTTGAGGGAGCAGAAGGGGGCAAAATCACGACAAAAGGCCAAGCTAACATTAGCCCTGCAGCTGTCATCAGTTCACAGATCAGGTGTAACCACCGATGGGCTACAACTTCAGCCTTTGGATGATCTTGGAAGAGAGAAAATTCACTCCCAGTATTGAGGAAAGTCTTCAATGACCACCGTTGGTCTATGCACCATGCATGTAACGTTAAGGTGCAGCTGGAGCAGCTGACCTTCGAGGGAAACCTCACATGCAAATGCCTGAATGAATGCAAGGACAAGATTCTCAGGAAGTTCCACACTGAGACCCATTGCATGCAACTCTCGTTGAGTCCAGTGGTGTAGCTGCTATAGTTTTTAGGTAGATTTGCATAATGGCTGTATTAAAGTCCGTTGTACATGTATTATGGTTGGCAGTGGTGCCTAAACTCATGCATACTTTCTTTTGTTCGTAAAGTTTGCGTTGGAAAAAGTTTGTGCTGCTCTCGGTTTTCATGTCATGTAGTGGCCATGACATTTTTCCCATGAGTCAACCATGTTTAACTTGGAAAAACTAAACGTCCCCCAGTTCAATTTGTTCTATCAATCGGGCTAAGTGGGTTATTAGAAGACTAAACATGTCATCACACAGCAGGAAACACTCAGGAGAGTGAAGCAATGGTATGAAAGTGCGTTAGAGGAAGCATGCTAAACCACAACAGGGGAAGTGAAGTCAAAGTACTAAGTAGGCTGATCTAAAGCAAGTCTGTATCATTTATTACATTATCAAATAATGTAGTGAGCAGTGCAATGCAGAGTAAGTCACTGTATTTTTATACCTTGGGAGCTAAAATACTGGTACTTCATACCATTTTATTGAGATATAAAGAGGTTGGACAAAATACCACAACACCTAACAATATGGTAATATCAGTGACCTGTTTTAACTGTTTGCCTTCTTATTGTGCAGAAAGCTTATTGTATGAGGACATAAAAAAGTGGAATGTCCTGTATCAAAGTCAAATCATGTCAGTGTTTGATTCATCTTGCAAAGTGAAATCTCTCTGCACCAGCAAATCTGACTTTGACAGTTCTTCTACACTTGCATTGATAACTTAAACTATATCCTAATAAGAAACCACATAAAAAGTGTAAAAAATTAACCAGACAGATGAGACACATCCCTCACACTGCTGTTATCTGACTGTATTTAAACCATTAATGTGATAATGGATGACACGTAGAGCGAAGGCAGAAGTAAAGTGTAAAAAAACAGACATACAAGAGAACAGAGGAAACTGAACATTAAAAAAGAAAAGCAAGGGGATATTAAAAAGTGGAAGGTGAAAATGAGAGAGGGAGAGAGAGGCTGTTTCTTATCTGCTCAAGAGGGAATGTAGCAAGCGAGTGTGGCCCAGAGAGATAGAGCTAAGGTGGAGAGAAAAACAGACACAGCAGTCAAAGACTTCCTGATTTGTGTTTGCTAGAAAGAGTCGGAGAAAAGCCAGTAGTTCTGTTTCTAGAAAATAAAAACTGGATCAACTCTGATAGCAGAAAGGCCTATCTCAATTCCTTCACCAGGAAATCCTTGTGAAGAAATAAAGTTGGATGAATTTGAAGCCCTGAAGAAGCCATGAAAATGCTCTTAAACTTTGGTAAAGCAGTCCATTTGATTCTTTACTTTCTTATTACCTGAATGACAGATTTGTCTAAACCAAGAAGGTCATGGATCAGAACCTTAAACTGCACTGCCACAGACTGCTACTGGATTTTTGAAGTAAGAATTTCCCCACACTGTTGACATTAACAAAAAGCTTTTCTGTAGACAAATTTAAGACAAAAACAGCATAAATTGTCTTCATAAGGACTTTAGCTAACTGCATCAATGCTCCTTGGCCTAGATTCTTCAAGTCTCTGGACTTTCGTAAAGGGATGACCAACACTCAACACAAATATAAATCCTTATTTGGTGTGGAAAGGGTTAGCAGAAGGCTAAATGAACAATATTTTCTCTCTGTCCCTCAAACACTTTATTGATATTGACACGTTTTATTGAGTTTATTGTCAGACTCCCTTTTAGATTCTCTTTTTGATAAGTCCATCTTCTTTTTGTGGGTGGCTCTGTAGTGTAGACTGTTGTTGTCGCTAAAATAGCAACTTTCTCTGCAGAATTTTGCCACCATTGAATCAGGCTTTGAATCAGGGCCGTGCATACATGTGCATCTGTAGAACCAATAGAAACACCCTCTCTCTGACATGACCTGAGATTGCCCAAAGTCTCCTGCCAGCCTAGATTTTCTTAAGCTCGAAAACGAGCCCAAGTGGAGGTCCAGAAGTCTGGTTTTCTCTCAGACCACTTTAATTACAATATGCTTGAAGTTTATTGAGGGATTTTAGCCTAATGAAGCCAAAAATAAACTGCTTATCCCAGCTTTGAGGGCTCAGTTGTAAACACGTCCCATGTGTGTCTCAGCCATGGGAGCCCCACATGCATTTCCTGTTTTGGTGCAATCTCCAGCTGGCCCTGGCAGAATCATGGGTTCAAGTTCATGTTTTTTGTTCAAATTTGACAGAGTGGATACAGTCAGTCGAACAAGACAAACACTTTTGCGCTGTGTTTGGAAATGAAGAATTAATAACTTTTTTTTTTCCATCATTTTTTATGACACTATCACAGTATCAGACTACACACTATGGTGTCACTCTCTTCCTTATAGCTCACGTCAGAAATGTCACATCATGTCCTTTTGGATGAATGCATAGTGTGTTAAGTCTTATCCACTTACCTCATGTATACAGAGCAACCTGTTGACTAACCATCCCATATTTATTCCAGCACTTTTTGCACTCTGCACCACTACACTACTGTATAACTGTTCCACTAGATCCATATATGATCCAGTCTATGCTCTACACCAGCAAATGTATGGATTCAAGTACATTTCTTTTATAATTCAATGATTCAGTTTGAAACTTTATTGTCACAACATGTTCAACACAAACACCAGAGTGCCTAGGAATGTGCCTTTCATTTCCACTGTCCGTGTAATGAAAGATAATTGTATAAAAATGTAACATTTAGACCTTTAAATAATGTTTACAGTATTTAGCCTTACCCTTCTCTAAGTTAGAGTGTTTTCTCAGCAAGCAAAAGAAGAACTTCACAAGGTTGCACAAACAACCAGATATGTGGCAATATAAACACAGACATTATCTAACCAATGAAATGTTCAAGGTTTGAACATGGTACCAAGAATTTTTGAATTGCTCAAATCAAACGCGTTAAACCAGCTCCCAGAACACAAACAGAACAACAAAACATATTTTCACTACACAATATTTCTACTGTTGTTCTTTTTCCCCTCTAGTTTCTAATATTTTTGGTCCATGTTAAAATGTAAGCATCATGTAATGCACATAATAAACTGATGTCAAAAAATTGCTCAACAGATAAACTATGTTTCATGTGTGTGGGGAGACATCAGGACCGAAATCCTCTTGTGACTCACCACATGCTTTCGCTGCACTGATGCACAGCTCCTCTGCTACGTACTCCCCAGGTGGAAACGTGAGCACACTTTCCGAGCCATTTTCTGAACCACCCTCTCCTCCGTCCTTCCCCAGGTAGAAAAGGTGAACAATGAGGCAGGTGGCATCCACGTCCTGCTTGGGGTCGAGGCCAGTGGCTGGATTGTGATCTGGAAGGAGGCCATTGAGATGTGCTGTAGGACTGGAGATGGGTGGGTCCATGTCTGTCAGCAGAATACAGGCCATGTGCTGCTTAAAAGAAACATCCACCTGGCAGAGGACAAAGGGATAAGACAGAAGAAGAAAAAAAATTCACAGGTAAGAGACTAAATAAAATAGTTCAGATTGTACTAAAGTTCTGGGAGTGTTTTACAGCACATACTGCCGGTCACTGCTTTCTGATTAACCTGACAAATGAGCATCTGAGATTTGAAGGTTGTTTCTACATCAACAAGACTCTGTGAAGCCACGCTGTGAAGGTCAGGCACTGTAATGCTTTGAGCTGAATGCTAATGACATAGCTAGCTAACATGCTGATGTTAAGCAGATACAGTGTTTAGCATATTCAGCCTCCTAGTTTATCGTGTTAGCATGCTAACATTTGCCATTTACCTCTAAACACAAAGTACACCTGAAGCTGATGGGAATGCTACTGATTTTGTAGGTATATTATCAGGTGTAAACCTAAGTATTGAACAAAAGAACATTTGACCTGATGACAGCGCTAGATAACAAGTCAGGGGATCAAAGTTATTACAGCTCATTCTGAGGGGGTTATGAATGTCTAAACAATTTTTAGAGCAATATATCAATTGCTGGGAAATTTTACTTAAAACCACAAATGTGAACCTCATGTGCCAGAGGAAAAGTCAGGGAATCTCCAAAACCCCATGGAAATCATCCAGTAGTTATTTCAGTACTTGCCAAGAAGATGTGCCAACTGATCAAACCAACATTGCCATCCATAGTGCCAAGCCGCTGTCATGGCTAAAGGTATCTATTGGAAACAATGGGTTTAAATGGTTTTGTTCATTAAATGTTACTGAAGTTACTGAATATGAAAAACAATTATCAATCAGTGAATCAATCAATCAGCAAGTTAAGTCCCTACCAGTCAATATGTTAATAGAGAAACAGGCATCTTTGTCTCACCAGATAGATTTTTTTCCTGTAGTACAAATAAAGAGTGAGAAAACTTATTTGATTCAGAGTGTCTGAAAACAGATTTTTGTTTTGTTTTGTTTTTTTGTTCTATTTTTTAGTAATAGAACGATAAAAAGATTAAATTTCTGTCTCTTATAGTGTTTTCACATTTGGTCTTTTTTAGCCCTCGAAACGGACTCAAAACAGTGACTCAGCATTTTTTGTGTATATGTGAACACTCCAAGAGAACTCAGACCCCTCTGAAGCTAACTAAAATCAGACCACGTGGTACGAGTTCGGTTCGCTTCAAGTCCACAGTGCGGTTTGCTAAACCTGTGCCTTCTAAACACACAGTGCTGCAGGTTGGCTTTGCTCTTTGCCATTGTATTTAGCCCTCTAAATCACATGCTGTTGCACTGAGACGCCACGTTGAACTGTAACGCTTGCAAGGATGCAGGATGAGGAGTAGTTTGGTCCATGGAAGATACTGCACGTGTCCAGATGTGGAATGTAGAATACATCAAACGGCAACAGTCTACAGCACAGAAACACTAAGGTTATCCTCTAATTTTAAGTTCATCTGAGATTGAGGGGCTTCTTAACCCCACTGTGTCAAAGTAAAAACAAAACTGTGTCAATATATATTATATATGGGCTACGGTGTGAACAAAAAGAGGACTAAGACCCCATCAGAGGTGAAGTTGACCAGAAAGAGAACTGACAATGATAAATCCACGGAAGATAATGACCATCTCCAGATGTGGAATGTAGAATAAATCAAACAGCAACAGTCTACAGCACAGAAACACTGAGGTTCTCCTCAAATTTCAAGTTCATCTGTAAGCGAGGAGCTTCATAACCGCACTGCAGGGCCACGCTAAAGTAAAAACAAAACTATGTTTTTTGTCAATATAGGCTGTAATGTGAACAGAAAGAGGACTGAGGCCCCATCAGAGCTGAAGTTGACAAGAAAGAGAAGTGAGTCCTCTTTCAAATGAACTGACAATGTGAACACAAAAAGAGCTGACTCCCTTTTCTGTTGCTCCACTTTTTGGTGCACTTTCAGAGGACTGAGTTCAGGTTCATTTAAAAAGGACTATATGTGAAAACACCCTTAAACCTGGAGTATCTGTCTTCTTGTGTATGCTTTCAATACTGAAATAAAGAATCCTTGAATCAGTTTTTATTCAGTTAAATTTAAATGCAGAAAGAAGGGGTGAATGTGTTGACAAAAAACTACAAGCCAAGCCCTAAAATGAACCCCAAAGAGAAAGACAAAAAGGGATTTTCCAAAAAATGAGCAGCTTAGAAGTACAGGCTGCAATAAAGAGGTGAGGGGTCACAGCTGGAGTGCACTGAAGAGACTTGCCTAGAAGTGAAGTACCGAACATGGCAAGAAGTAATCAATTGCAAATGCTCCCAAGGGGATTTAAGGGTGTGAGTAATAATTTGCGGTCTGCATTGTTGTGTGAATCTTAGCTCAGGCAACTTTTGCTTGCAGATGTGTCAATAAAAACAGACTGCTATGTAGAATTAAGTACTTTATATTTAAATGTGGAGAAGATCAAGTATGAAGCCTGAAAAGAACAGCACATTTATTCCTGCTCTGTTCACTCTAATTTGCATTTAACCCTAAAATGACACTGCTTCATTTCCTAGGCTGCAGCCGATTGGAACAGTGGCTGATTCAGATATCTGAGATGCTATTGTATCCCTCCCTGTAATCATAAACTGTTTGCTGACACGAGATGAGCATTACTGGCAATTACATTTATGGTTACTTACCAGAACAGTTAATCCCTCATCACAAGACAGCAGTGCTGTGGACTTACTCTACAGATACTATACAGACTACCCTGGAGCGGTCTCAGCAGTTCTGTTCTTCACCTTATGTAGGTGGAAAATGCCCTTAAATATTTTTGCACATGCAAAAACATTTGGTACTTTTTCTACTCCTGCTGACTTTGGTGATCCCCTGACTTTTGATAGAGTGCAACCAGTCAGTTGATATTTGTGGTTTGGAGTGGAACGTCCTGCCAGTGACTTTGATGAGCCCAATTTTTCATCTAATGACATCATTAGGAGTCAAAATGGTCATTTTTCCAATACTTTGGGTTATAACCAAATAGTTGCAACACTAATGAGATTTCCATTGGCCTCAGCTGTACTGTGTTAAGTCCTAACTTGCAGTCTTAATATATTAGTTTCTTAGTTTAGCATGCTAACATGTTCAACTAACATTGTGAATATAGTAATTATTACACCTTCTTAGCATCAGTATGTTAGCACTGACACTATGTTAGCTTGCTGATGTTAGCATTTAGCTCAGAGTCTAAATGTACCTAAGTGCAGTCTCACAGAGCCACCCGCATGACAAGTCTTGCTTTTCAGCTTAGCCACTGAGCTTTATGGTCCTATTATATCCCTCATCTCTCAGTTTAGTTTATCATATCTCACGTAAATTCACATTCTCTTCTATATTAATGGTATTTTCAGTATGGTTTGACTACCATTTTTGAACATTCTGATCATTTCGTTTTAATTAAACTTTAATTTGTTATAATATTTGTATCCTTATATAGCGCACAGTTTTCTTTTTCTTTTGCTGGAGCATGAGTTAAATTTCCAAAAAGGGATCAAATGCTATTAACTGCCCTCATAGATTCTGATTAGCTTAGCAATGCCAGACCAATTCACAATACAAATTAATCTGGAATCTCTTAGTTCACTTTTAATTTCCAAGGGGTGTTATCAAGCTGTAGACCAAAATGTCTCAGGCTGCAATTGGATAGCTCTACATCCAATCAAAGCAATGAAACGTGATGTAGCACTGAGCAACAGACAAATGTAAAGCCCCGTTTCCATCAAACACTTTCAGTAGGGTACCTTTGACAAAAAGTAACCCTTCAGACATGGTACCTAGATCCTAGTGTTTCCACTTCAAATTGTGGTCTTAAATGTGGGCAGGGTTGTTGACACTCACTGCTCTGCCCAGCACTCACAGTATTTCCAAATTACTGGTGACACAGAGGGAAGTCTGCGTCTCGTTAATCGCCCACAGAACAGGGCTGCATGCCGACATTTTCAGAACAAAATAAAACAGGCTGCAGTGAGAGTCTAAACAGACTACAGCATGTCGAAATGGGCTGTGACAGTGTAGCATCAATATGTATGTGAACAAGTGTTGCTGGTTTTGCCATCAGAATTCTAAAATAGTACTTCGCAGAAAGTTCCACATCAGCTGCAGCCATCTTGGCTGTTTTAAAAAATGTCTTAATGGCGCTCCTCTTCATTAAACCAGGTTTATGCTTATGATGCATGGGCCAAAAATGATGTAATTTTGTATTTTGCATGAAGCACAAAGGCTCTGCAAGTTGTGACTCATTTTATAGAACCCCCTTGCAGATTTGTCTGCATCCCAGGCTGGGGTTTGATTACAGTCTTTGAAATCTAATTTTCCTGTGATGCATTGTATTGTAAGAATATGGGAATGTAAAGACAAAATGTGGGTAGACTAGTCCTACTGTTTTCAAGTCAGATACTGAATAGATTCACTCCACTGCACTGCTTGTCTGCTTTTGATTACAGGCTTTCTGGCAAGCCATTGAAGTGAGTTAAGCAGATGTTATGCGACGTTATTTTTCAATATTTCAAAGGTTTTGCCTCGATTCAGTCAGACATGTCAATTTTCCGATCCCAAACATTCTGTGTGTGTGTCACGGTTGAAAGGGCTTATAGATGCTGAAGAAAAAATAATAACCTTTTTAGAATAATCAAATAACTCATAAATTTCATAACTTCCTTCCATCCCTTCCCATATGTCATTCTCCTGTACAGTCGTAACAGTAAACAAAGTGTACTTTTTTTAATCTATGCTCTAAACTACAAAAATGTCCCCTAGTGACATGCCCAGAACAGTGAAACGCTCTCCTCTGGTGTAGCACAGCCAAATAAGGGTGGTAGTATCAGCTGGTGAGAGTCAAAAACGATAAAGAGGAAGTGCAACAGCATGTACATACCCACATAACATAAACAAACTGCACAGACATTACTGGGAGATAAACAATAAAGTTAATAAACAATATACTGTAGACAATACTAAACCAAAAGCTCCAAGCAATAAACAGACTTAGTGCTTCTTAGGTAAACTTAAAAGATTTCATGAAATCATTGCT